TTCTGCCTCCCGCACCATCTAGTCCATCAGCTTCGCGACCGACGTAGTCACCCTGTCGCATGGTTGACTTCCTGAATTTACCGTCGTAGAACTCGCTACTTGCTCCATCTACATCGACGAGACTCTCCCAGACGATCTCGTCTTCCATCAGGAAGCTCGAGTCGGTAGCGAGAGTGAACAGTGTGGGTGGTGCGTTGGCGCTGGTCCCCTCTCCGGTGGCAGCATCGACTCCTTCGTGCGGGAGTCGCTTGTATAGGACCGAAAGATGTGAGTTGCGGAAGAGTGCGACTGGCTGGCCGGCGGCAAGTTCTTGAGCGAGAACAAAGAGTCCATGGTAGGTGAGCTGGGTAGACTGTGTATCGAGGAAAGATTGCAGTGCCAGCGCATGTCGAACAGTTGCACGCTGCTCGTCGCTCCAGCCGTTGCGTTGTGGTGCTTTGCCATTGGACACGGCTGCCTCGCTGGAAAGAGTAGCTGCAAGCACACCTACTCCGCGATCCTTCACCACAGCGCCGTTTGCAACTTCGTCACCCCGAACAACGACGTCTACCGCCTTGTTGTAGCTTCCCGCAGCTTGGACTGCTCCAAAGGTTTCCCCATCCGCAGGATCAGGCAACCAGCCATGTACCAACTCGACTCCACACAGCCTGAACAGCGCCAGCTCTCCCGCGCCTCCGTTGTTCCCCGAAGCAGCTGCAAAACTTCGAATCGAGTCAAAGCCTACATCCACATCCAGCCCATACTGAGTGCGAGGTAGGATCGACAGAGCTGCCTGAAACTCCTCACCTTCTGCTCCTTTCGTCAAGAGATGCTCGGCAAGCAGCCCAGACAGGTACGTATAGCTTACCACTGGCCTATCGGGTGGTGTGATCTGCAGCTCTCCACGAAGCAAGAGGATATTGCAGAGGGCGATGAGCGAACAAGGACCGTTCTGATTCTGTGTGATGATCTTACAGTCTCTTCCTTGCCAGTAGATGTCTTTGAGCGACCATTGAGCTTCTTCTCCTGTCGCACCGGCGCGCTGTGGAGGCCGGGCGTTGGACGAGGTAGCGGCCATTCTCGGGTTCTGCGAGGTCGGTGTCGCGTTGGATGTAGGACGCTGCTGGTTACGTCCACCGAAGCCGTGGGTAGGGTGAGGATGATGAGAGTGAGGAGGTGTGTGGTGGCCGATAGAAGAAGCGGCGGCTGCACCTCCATCACCTCCTCCACCTCCTGCTGCTCCGCCGCCACCGTCAGCCATGATGACTAGCTCGTGTGATTTTGTGTGGGCGGCAAAGCTCTATTTTTTCTTCAGATGAGTTGGTGACTTACGTAGGTGGGTCGTACAAAGGTGTGTGCGGATCGTGGATGGAAGTGAGGAAAGGAACATCAGAAAAAGGTAGTGGTCTGTGCTTTGGGGCATACGAGCGGCACCGCCCACGCCTCGCACAGCCTTCAGAAGCATAAAAAAGCTCTTGGCACTCGGGAATGATAATTTTAGCTTATCTGCCAAGACCTTTTCGATTTCCACACTTGCCCAAACCGAAGGGAGCACAAGCTCTCTACACTGCCTGCCTACTTCCGCGGGAGCATTGTCTCACATCGTCTTCTGCACACACAGGTCAATACTTCGGACACACCGCTCTTCGTCGTTGAAATGGTCGATCGAGGGTGACTGAATCGGCCCAGGCCTAGTTCTGGAAGGCACCTGTATTGCTTCCAGTTGACCCTTCCATCGGACCTCCCCCATTGCTTGCGTGGCTGGGATTATTGGCACCTTCCATTACACTGACACCACCCATCAGCAGCCCAATGTCAAGCTCGCTTAGTGACGCCGGGCCTGAAGCACTGCCAGGAGAGCTCATGCCCGGCGAACCCATTCCTGCCGCCCTCTCAACTCCGCTGAGATGAACAGGTAGAATCCTGCCGCCATGCTGATCGGGTGGTGACATTCCATTGGTGCCGACATGACTGTTGGTGGGCAGAGGCGTTTGGTTGAGCGGTGTCAGCCAGTCAAAGTTGGACAGGTAGTACTGCATCCATTCATCGCGCCCGTTGCTTTCGGAATGCACACCGTCAGCTGTAGTAGCAGGTGTGAGTGCGGGGTTGGTAGAAGGAGCGCGGTATGAGTTGGTGGTGGTTGTTGGAGTAGGGCCAAGAAGTGAGAATACAGAGAGGTCGGCTGTGGAGCTTCTCTCTCCCCTGGCTTCGGATTCGGCGATGCCCGCTGAGGCGCCTCGGTGTGTGCTCCCACTGCTGGTGCCGACACCATTCTGACCTTCCCGGTGGTCGTCTCCCTGGTCTGCTGACGCTGTGCCTCGCTCTGAGCTAGTAGAGAATGTCGACCCAAATCTGCCATTGCCTACGTGAGACAAGCTTGAGCTTTGATCCATGTTTGCACCGCTGCTCACACCCATAGCGCACGCCGAAACTGAGCCTGCTCCTGCAGCACTGCTCTTCCCTCTACCCGGCGCACTCGCCACCTGCCCTGCAGCGGCCATCCTCACAACCTGTCTCGCCAATACCACCAAGTCCCTGGCCTTGTGCAGACTAGCTGTGGTTCCGACGTCCGCGTAGATCCTCTCTTTCTTCTCCAGATACTTGATTGCGCGATCGATGCTCGCCAGGTACCCAAACGCCAAATCCTGGTTGCTCGGTTCACACAGGATTGCTGCAAGTACGACAGTGCAGGCCGAGTCGAGATAGAAGCTGCCAAAACGCATATTGTCGAGTCCGGGTCGAGGCATGTCAGAGCGTGCGTTGGAGATGGAATCGATGATCTGTTGACCTGCACGAGCCGATGTATGCGTCTTGTCGAGGACACTGCGCGGGATGTCGGTAGCTATGGATCGGCAGTACAATGCAAAGATGACGAGAGGGCTATGCACGAGCAAGCGGAGATACCACCACAACGTCGTAACCGAGTAGCGACGGACCACAAGGTCGGATGAATCAGAGTCGTCGTCTGCGTCGCGATGAAAGCCGTCGCGAAGACCTCCGCTCAGCTCTCTGGGCGCCTCTTGTCGAATGCGTAACATCTCTGTCTCCATCCGTTCGGACGCTAACAGGACATCGTGTGCATTTGCTGGTGGGTTTGCAGAAAGCTTCGACACATCCGAACAGACCTTCGCGATCTGCGCATACACGAGCAAATAGGCGTCATGCGAGTTATCCGGCTGAGGCAACTTGGCAGACACATCTCCGTCCTGGATCGCCGAGGCCTGTCCAAACCAAGTGGAAATCACCCTTTCGACACCATAGCACGTCCACCACAATTGTCTGTGTTCCACACTTCTAGGATTGCTGGGCGAGTAGAACGTCTCGCGATGAAGGCCGATGGAGATGCACATTCGTGCTGCATAGCCAATGTAGAGATAGGCGACGTTGGGACTGGACCATTGAAGCGACAGGAAGCTCATCAGCACCAGACAGCGTCCGCTTTGGATGCTTGAGTTCTCGACGATCTCCTCGATTCTCTTCTTGGCGAGAAAGAAGAGTGTGGTTGTGCATGCGATAGCACCTTCTCGAGTCATGGGTACGGGCGGCGCATGGATATCCTCCCAATCACCTTCGTCCATTAGCGCACCAAGGGCCAGGACGACGTAGAGCGCTGCAAGCTCATTTGTACGCATGCCTGCCTTTTGACCTGGCTGTGGACCGCCTGGACCAGATGCAGCCATTGAGGGAACGCCTGAGAAGCCGCGAGAGAGGTAACCAGACGCTTTGGCGTCCTTGACCCATTTCAAGATCTGTCGTTTGGGCACCACCGCGCCCAGCTGTGGCTGAATGAGGGTCATATAGTTCTCGATAAATCGGTCGACGATAGATGGAGGCAAGAAGGTCGAATCTCCACTGCGTCTTTGGCTGCATCGAGGGTAGGGAAGCTCTTGGCTACACGGAAACGCTTGAAGCCGTAGTCAGCTGCGTCTGCGGACGACATGTTGCTTTCCTAGCCACCGGTAGGCTCCTAATGTGGTGATAGCAGCAGGTTGTCCAGAAGCTTTGTCGTAGTCGTTGGTCGAGTCGCATCACTTTCGCTGCGCTTCAAGGCGCGATGAGCGTGAAGATTGACAAGTGCTGGATAGACGGTTTGGTTTGAAGCTGACGGACTGAGTTGCGGTGAGAGCAGCTGCGCTTTGTACGACAGTTTACCGCCTCAGCCGGAAGGTTGCTCAAGCACGCTGCGAGCAGAACAGCAATTATGATTGTCGCTTGCACACTGCCGGTGGCAACAGTCTGTTCCGACGAAGAAGTAGCGCCTGTTGTGCCAGACGGACGTTGAGAACAAGCTCGCGCGCGTCGTTGTAGAAGTTTTGGATTCATCCGTTAATGAGATGGCAGTCAGCGGCTGTGTAGATGAGGTATGACTGCAAGGTGGGAGAAATGGTCTTTCTTTCTTTCTACCTGGTTCCGCGGCGTTGGCTTGCTGTTCTTTCCAGGCCCAATGAAGATGGTGATCCGGGTCGATGTTCAGTTCGCTCCGTTCGGCGAAAACTTGCCCGGTGAGCTCGACCTTCAAACCGAATTGATATGGTGTTGGTTGAGGCTAAGTCTATCGACGATAGTGGCGGCAGGTCGGCAAAGAAGAGCTGGGATGGCTGCGCAGTCGCAGAACGATGATGACAATAATGCCTCGGAAGAGCCGATCAGAAATTGGAGAATCAGCGCCAAAATTATTGTGATTGTGGAGAAGAACGCTTCGCAGTTGCGGCGGCCTCGGCACTTTACGCGCCTCTTCGCCTTTTCTACCAGCCTCGGATCAACTGTCTGCGCTTTGCCTGAGCTCAACCTCGCTTATCTGTTCCATCTCACACCCACACACACAGAGCCTCTTATTTGAGGACCGAAGAAACCCAACGAGACCGATCCGAAGGCTGCGTAGCCTTGTCAGTTTCTGCCAACCAACATACTGGCTGCTACGATTTCGCTTGAGAGTGAGGGTGAGGACAACAGCGTGACAGGCGAAAGCGACAGACTGTTGTGTGTCTCTATATACATCATCTAAGTCGGTAATTTCAAGAGCTTCTTTAGCTCAGTTGGTACGAGCGTCCGACTGAAGAATTCAGTTTCACCAGTCGCCACTGCGAGCAGTGGACAACTAGGTATCGGGAGGTCACCTGTTCGACCCAGGTAAGGAGCAATTTGTTTTTCTATCTTTTTTTTCTATCTTTTTTTTTCCTCTTTTTTTTTCCTCTTTTTTTTTCCTCTTTTTTTTTCCTCTTTTTTTTTTCCTCTTTTTTTTTCCTCTTTTTTTTTTCCTCTTTTTTTTTTTTTTTTTTTTTGCTTTCTTTCCCTCCTCCTTAAACTTCTTCAACGCTTCCACACCACACCGTCTTCGCTCGTTTAGGAAGTATCGGTGCTGAAGTGATGTCCTTAAGATGGCTGGTGACAAAGTCACGTCGTCGACTGTGCAGATTTGTAAAGGTGACAACATGGATTCTAGGTTGGCGCCAAGATGCGATGAGGAAGACATGCGAGATTGCAGAAAAAATGGATGGCTTGCTTGCAACTGCGGGGCAGAGAACAGCGCGGTGTAAAACTTGTGTCCTCTTTTGAAGCGTTGAGAAGAAGCGGATTGGCCGGTCTTAGCCGGCTACTCTGGGATGCAGGCGTTGGAGCAGCAGATCGCTCTAAATTTGCAGGGGGGGGGGGGGTTTCCCCTTTCGGCGTGGGCGCGTGGTGTTAGCCGGGCTCTATTCAGTTCTAGACGAGCAATGTGATGTTTGGCAGCAGCCACCAGCCAGCGTTCCATCGATGAGGACCATGCCTTGGAGGAAGTTAAGCTAGAGGAAGGTACCCGGAGTGTAAGACCCTCGTCATGCTGTTCTTCTATTGCCAGCGCCGGTCGCTAATTCTAAGCTCTTCTCCGCAGCAGACGTCACAATCAGGAACAACGAAAATGGGCGCAGAAGCTTCTTTGCTGAGAAATTCAGGAGGAGTTAATTTGGATGAATTTTGAGGCTGCTCAGCGTTTTGAGAGAAAGAGAGAGAGAGAGAGTTGGATCTAGCAGCGGCTTGATTCCTCCACAAATGCTGAGTGTATAGCCATACCATTGACAAGTTGAGCATTGACCTTCTCTTTCATCATCCTCTCCATCCCTCGTCAAGCCTGCGCAGACCTATTCTCCTCGACATCCATCCTGATTCCACAGCATTTGCGAGCTCGGCTTCTCCGAGCCTTTTCGCATCTCAAAAAGCAAAACCGGCAAATCCAAAGTAGTAACATTAACTCTAACCTCGATTTCGACTCTTGCCTTGTCCTCCAGCCCACCGTAATCCAAGGAGGACAGCAGCAAACAATAACAATTTAAATGAACTGCTCTTTGAAGCGGATATAACGCCATCGTCCCGTCGGAAGCCCACTGTAACGGCGCTTCTTCTCATCGGTTCTTCCGTAGTGAGATAAGTTGGCTCGATATCCTCATAGTCTCGTCGGATCGACCGACGACTCTAGCTTAACTCAGACTCATCATCGCCACGTCACGTCACGTCACGTCACGTCACGCCATGCCACGCCACAACACTCATGTCTGCCTAATCAACGACCATCGGCTCTGCCGTCGCTCTCACTTCTCGCTGGAATGCTTGGTCGCCACCTGTCTACACTCTTTTGCTTTCGTTTGCGTATAATTGCGCAGCTCAGCCCAGCTTAGCCCCGGAACAGTCTCCATTACAACTTGGCTCAGTCCTCGTCGTCATCCATGTCTTCTCCCGACACCAAACAGAACGATTCCGGTCGGATCCGATCCAGTCGAGCATGCCTTCATTGTTCTCGTCGCAAGGTCAAATGTGATGGTCTGCAGCCCTGTAACAATTGCACAAAGGAATCCGTCGTTTGCGAGTACGGCGCTCAGAAGAAGCGAGGCCCCCCAAAGGGATGCGACCCTCGAGGTGGCCGTAAGAAAAAGGTTCAAGAGCCACCTTCGACCACACTGGCCAAACGCAAAGCGCCGTCATCGTCCAAGAAGGACCCCCCACCGAGTAACACCAAGGAGGTCCCCATAGCCGCAGCCCCTATTCGCAAGCCATCCACAACCAAGAAGAGCGCAGCTTCGTCGTCATCTTCATCGCAGCCGTCTCAGTCGGATCATGAATCAAGCCGCTTGGATCCACCAAAGCGAGATCTGCAAGCTAGCCAAAGAGGTGTAGCGTCGACGTCGCAACCTGCTATCGCTTCGCTCACCGCCAGACCTTCCTCTGATGCCCGCAGCTTTCCAAACGAGAGATCAACAGCACCATGGCATCTTTCCTCCTCTTCGCAAGCCCACCACGACCCTCACCGAGCATGGTCCAGACCTTCCGCGCCACAGCCCAGCCGCTCCAGTCCGTCTCTTTCGAGGCATTCTTCTTACCTCGCTGACATCACAACCGCAGCAACCACCTTATCGAGCCATTCTTTCCCTGCCGCATATCATGCTCCTCAGCATGCCTCTGCAGATCACAAGCAGCCCTATCCGCATGCGCCATCACCTTTACATCATCACGACAGCTATCACCCCTCCAGCCACTCGTGCGGTGCCGGCCCCTCGTCCGCTGTTGAGCCGGCCCTTCCTTTGCAACCAGCCTCCTCGGGACAGCACTACGATGCTTATCCGCTTCAGGCGCCGATGCGCGACTTTCACCGATCTTCGCCTCTAGCGTCTCATCCTTCCATGCTCCCGCCTCATGCTTTTGCGTCCGCAATGTCATCGAACCTGCCATCCCATCCTCCACAGGATGCAGCTGGACACACGCCAGCAGACCGTGCAGAAGTTTCTACTTGGTCTTCTGGCCGCTCCAACACGGCTGCCTCTGCCACCACATTCGCTTCGCCGCGCTCTCATGCAACTCGTAGCTTATACGAAAGCCCCGTCGGCCACTATCAGTCCGGCACATCTCCGTTCGATCGCGCATCAGCAATGCTGTCAGCTTCGACTTTGTCGAGTCGCCATCCTGTCTCGGCAAGTAGGTTGACCGAGCCATCCAGCGGCAGCACTACTCAGCCAGGTCCCGCAAATGCTGCTTCGTCCTCGTCGCACAACACAGGCGTCAGTACCTCGCCTGCCCTTACTGGCCATCCACACGCCTATAGTCCATCCTCCACTGCAATGCCACATCGACCGTGGTACAACGGCTCGCAACCATCCTCACCGCGAGATCCAAACTCAATCTCACGGTCTCAGATCTCATCTCCTGGCGCCAACTGGCTTGATCACCACATTCGCCCCGCTTCGGCAGCCGCCAACCATCCTCACGTCTCTTCTCGAGTTCATCTTGAGGATCGGCTGCCACCACATATTCTGCAACGACTACTCGACATCTACCAAGTATTTGTGCATCCGCACTGGCCTGTCATCTACCTGCCCTCCGTCACTTCGCTCCATTCGCTCAAGCGTTCACGTCCCATCGTCTTTGAGGCCATCCTTGCCGTAGCATCCAACACCTTTGATGCCTATCTCGATGCTGCTGCTGACGACGATCGCCAGAGCTCGAACCCGGTCCTGGAGTTGCTCTATGCAGAGTCGCCACAAGGCACTGAGCCGTCCTGGAAGTCGAACGAGCTCCGTGACCACTTTGTGCACCGAGTCAAGACCCGCATCTTTGAGGGCAAGTTTACCCAGGATGTCGGTACGATCCAGGCCGCCATTCTTATCAGCGTCATCGAGCTCGGGTGCGGCAACCCCTCAAGCGCGTTTCAATTTGGTGGAATCGCATGTAGGATGGCACTAGACATGAACCTTCATCGATGCACGACCCAATCCTCATCTGCTGGCTCTTCGGCTGCACAAGCAGGTAGCAGCAGCGGGGGCCAAAGTCACTACTCGCCCGCTCAGAATGGTGGAGACACGAACAACGGCAAGACAGGCCAGTACAGATCGTCACAGCTGCAAGAACGACTGCGTACTTTCTGGGCATGCTTCATTCTCGATAAGATTCTCTCCACTGCTTTGGACAAGCCTGCCCAGCTTCGCAGTGCTGAGATAGAAGCAGATTGGCCATCCGTTCAAGAAGCTGATGAGTACGATCTCTGGCTGAACGAGACAACGCGCAAGTTTGTCGAAAAGAGCCAACTGCCACGCCTCGAAGGTGTCAAGGTACATGCGCTAAGCAGCTTCAAAGCTTGGGCCGAAGTCATGGCTATCCTCGAACGAATCCTCGAAGAAGTCTACAGTCCCCAAGCGAAGCGCGATCGACGCCGTACCAATGGCGCCTCCGACTACGAAGCGCTGCTGAGGCTCAATGACCGCCTCACCAAATGGCGAGCTGACTTGCCTTCCCACCTCAAGTGGTCAGGCACCTGGACATCACCAGAGCTCTTGTCATCCACTTCATCCCAGCATAGCTCTGCTGATCGCAAAGAATCTGAGCCGCACCGCGGCCTGCCGCCACAGATTCTCACCTTGCGGTCATGGTATTGCATCTGCCTAATTATTTTGCATCGACCGCGTGTGCCAAAGTTGCTCGAGGGGCCAAAAGAGCGTGGTGCAGCATCTGCAGAAGAGTCTGCTCAAGTTGCCGCAAAGGACGCCGAAGAGCCAACATCGTTAACGAAGAAAGGAAAGAAGGGTGCAGCCCAGCCAGCGAAGAAAGGCGCACAGGCTTCGGAGAAGGACAAGCGCCCTGAGCCAGCCGGACTCGACATTTGCAATGCTGCTGCCAAAGAGGTTTGCGATATCTTGCATGTCTACGGCTCCTCCTTCCGCATCCGCAAGATTTCCAGCAGCTGGGTCTACCTCATTTTCCAGAGTGCAACCATCCACGCCGCCATTGCAGCTAGCAAGAGCGTTGTGGCTTTCAAAGCGCGCCAGTCGTCGATCTGGAGTCGAAGAGGCTCCAAGACGCGTCTCAACGAGCCAGTATCTTCTGCAGCAGATTCGCATAGCGGCAACAATTTGGGAGCGCCAATGGGATCCGAAGACGACCCTGAAATGCATGCAGGCGGCGGCGATGAAGCTCATCATGTTACGGAGGCTGACCTGGAGGGCTCATCAGAGCTCGTCAAGACCAGCGCGAGATATTTGGCCGAATGTGTGCGGTTTCTCAAGCGTATTGGACCAACATGGAAGAGTGCGTCTAATCACGTTGCTGTCCTTCGCAACTTATGCATTGCAAGTGTTCAGGCTAGGCCACACAGTCCAACAGTGCTAGAGTTGAACGGCA